TATATCGAAAACTTCTTTGTCCTGTTGTGGTTGAGCATAGGGGAATATGTAGTGCTTCATTGTTTCTTGTGGCGCGATTGTTTAGTTCCTTAATTACGTTTAAGAAATAGGTCGCACAGATATGCTGGAGCGAGACTATTTATACATTTGTAGATCATGACCAAATCTTTGAACAACAGGTGCTCTTTAACAGGGAGCCAACCAATATCTTTAAGGATTGATGTAATATGATCAAATGTTTTCCCATTAGCTATAATTCTGCACGCAAAATTTTGGACGGCTTGTAGTTTCTTAGTATTTGAAGAACTCGTAATGTCTCGTATTTGACCAAACTGTTGAACAGTAATATAATTTACCCATAACTACCGCGCAGATGATGTAAATCAGCGTCTTTTGATCAAAACAACGTTTGACACGATTAATTTGACACAGTTTAGCCATGCACTCTGGTGAGAGCTGGGGTATATGTTCGTTATATGTCAAGTTGCGGTCCAGGATTATTCCAAGGTCGCTTATCGAAGTGACAGGAACGATTGTCTTATTTAAAAAATTCAAAGACATATCATCTGATAGTAAATTTAGAAACTTTCGCGTTCCAACTAACAGAAACTTGGTTTTCTCGGGATTAATCAATAATGAATTTTTGCAACACCATTCGGCTACAAGGCGAAGATCAGTCTCAAGTTTATGTTTGGCGTCTGACACTTCTTTGACAGAGAATGACAGAGATATTTTGGAATCGTCAACAAACGAGTTCAGATCACATGATTGCGTCACTGTTGGAAGGTCGTTTGTATATATGCAGAAGAGCGATGGTGACAAAATAGCCCCCTGCGGTACACCGTGGGTAATAGGGAGAGCTGCAGACAAAGATGAACCAATGCGGACTTTTTGAAAACGTCTGGTTAGATAGCTTTCAAACCATTTAACTGTTTCCTGGGATACTCCAATAGCACTTAGTTTTTTTAATAAGATTGAATGACTGATACTATCAAAGGCTTTTGAGAGGTCAATTAAAATAACAGCAGATAGTTTCTTGTTGTCCATTAGTGCATCGAATAGATGATCGGTAATTAATAAGTTTAAAGTTTCAGAAGAGTGCTGTTTTTTGTTGCCGCTTTGCTGTACACTAAGTCGTTTGTTGCGTGTTAAATAGGAATTGAATTGGTTGAGGACAGCTCTCTCACAAATTTTTGAAACAGTATTTAGGAGGGAAAGAGGGCGATTATTTGAAGCAACTTCGTGATCACCGTCTTTTAATAAGGGAATAACTTCGACTAGTTTCATATCATCTGGGAACGATGATGTGGCGACGGAGCAATTGATAACAGGGTTTATTTTAACGTGCAGTTCTACACAAAATGTGCAGTTCTAAACCCATTTGTGCAGTTCTTAAAACTCAAATGTGCAGTAACCAATATTGGCTTATTATAAAAATAAATGGGACAAATTCTGTCAATTTTGTGGGAAATTGTGTAAATTTTGTGGTCAATTTTGTGATGTGTGGAAACTTTGTTTGATGTTCCGGAAAATTTTGGTATGTACGAAAAAATGTTTAGACCCCTAAAATGGTACACTGACAGAATTTTTTTGGCGACGGGGGGGGGGGGGAAGGG